GCATGGGACCGCTTAGTCAAAAGGTACGACCGCAAACCGCTCATAATTAGGTCACTGGTGCAATCGTTTTTGGCTCTTCCCACCCTCTCTTCAACTAACACATCGGTACTTCGCCAAATAGTTGATGGAGCAGATCAAGCCATCAGAGGTCTGGACGCGTTGAATGTCACATCCAACGACCCATGGCTAACTCAACTCTTGCTTAATAAATTAGACGAAGAAACGCGGAAAAAGTGGGCAGACAAATGCGATAACCAGAGCGAAAAAGGGTTTAGCGAGTTTCTCGAGTTTCTTTCTCATCGCTGTGACACATTTGAGGCGTGTTTACCTCCCCGCTCAGCCCACACACGTCGCGTCGCTTTGTTGGCAAATGTTGATGACAGGAAGAACAAACAATGCGTCGTTTGCACGGACAATCACACGCTATGGCAATGCGCTCAATTCAAACAGTTATCACTGTCGTCACGTCGGGCAGCTGTACAAAAACAAAAGCTATGTTTTAATTGCCTTGCCTCTACGCATTCCGTGCGCTCTTGTCAATCGAAGCATAGCTGTAAAAAATGTAGCTCACGCCACCATACACTTCTGCATGATGAACGGTCTGCCCTCACGCCCTCTTCTACTTCTTTTCCTTCATCAGCACAAAATAGTTGGGATCAAAATGAGCAAGTACCTGCTGTCACTACGCAGCGTATGCACACGCCAACACTAAAGCAAGCAGCGGTCAGCACTTTAACCTCCGTTAATGCTGCTATGCCTCACACGTTTCTCCCAACGGTGGTGGCCGCAGTCGATGACAAATGGGGAAATCGGGTAAGCTGTCGAATATTGCTGGACTCTGGATCAACAATATCATTTGTGTCAGAAGCCTTTGTACAACGTGTCGGTCTATCACGTACAAACGGTCGTATATCAGTTTCTGGTCTATCAGCCTGCAATGCCGGAGTAACGCGAGGTCGGGTGTACTTCACTTTAAGCTCCAAATTGAACGACTCGACACTAGATATACACGCTTATATTCTCAGCAAGTTAACATCGCAAATTCCTGTTCAGACCGTGAATATTTCTTCATCATCGTGGCGATCAATTGTGAAACTACCACTCGCTGACCCTACATTCGCTGAATCAGCACCAATTGATGTATTGATTGGCTCCGATCAGTTGTGGAGCATTTACACTGGCGAGCAAAAACAGTTCGGGCCTAACATGCCGATTTTGCTGAATAGCGTGTTTGGTTGGGTGGTAGCTGGAACGCATTTTACCGAAAGCGAAGCTAACTTAACTGCTGCAACTCATCATGCTACCGTTAACATTGATGCGCTGTTTCGGTCATTTATGGAAGTCGAGGATGTCAAACCTACACCAGAAAAGATCAAGATGGCAGATCCAGCAGAGGCCCATTTTGTTCGTACTCACACGCGTCGTACTGACGGTACCTACGTAGTCAAATATCCCTTCAAGGAAAAGGCACCGGCAATTCTTCACTGAATAATAAAAAGAACTTTCGCAAGCTGTCACCAGATTACAATATATGGAACGCCGTTTCAAACGTGACTCCTTTCTGAAGAGTCAATACATAAATTTTATGCGTGAGTATTTGTCGCTTGGCCATATGGCCCGTATTACGCCGCAGGAAGTTGACTGCCATCCATCGGAGTGTTTTTATCTGGCTCATCACGCAGTTCTCAAACCAGACAGCTCAACCACGAAATGCCGAGTCGTATTTGATGGATCCTGCAAAGATTCTGGTGGCTACTCACTTAACGAGCGTTTGCATATTGGCCCACGCATTCTCAGCTGACATAGAGAAAATGTTTCGCGGCATTATGGTATCAGATTCTGATACTAAATTCCAACGAATCGTTTGGCGGGAGGATGCGGGTTCACCAGTGGAGCATTACCGACTACTAAGGGTAACCTACGGCCTTGCTGCGTCGCCTTTTCTTGCTGTACGTGTTC